AACCACCTTGTGTTTGAACACAAGTAATAGCACCTGCCACATATCTTTAATGATTTGAATATAAACGTTATTAACTCCTTTCTTTTCAAGAACTCTCCATAGCACTTCTCTTGAAACATATTATAATGGGCATAGCACTTCTAATGGTTCATACTGAATAACATAATTTGGTTTTGAAATAAACCTTTTCAGCGATGAAGCGTGAAACATATAATGCTACTTGTCAATTATGAGGGTAGGGTGAGTTCTTAAGTGAATTGTCTAAAGTACTATTAATGGCTTCAAATGGACCAACATGCCTTTGTTTTAACTTTTCTTTTATGTACCTTTAAGAATATACATTCTCAACATGGTATTCAACATGTAGCCAAATCTATTAACTTTGTGGCATCCCAAATCTAAAGAAATTGGCTTGAAAATGGTGGGGAGTGATCGTAAGGGTAGATTGCCTAGACAAGGAGCAACTCTGGCAAGCTTCTACCTGATGAACTTCTAAGAGAAAAAGAGACCAGAACTAAACCAAATCCAACACCAAAAATGGAGGAAAGGTTAATGAGCTATGTAAATAAAAGGCTAAATCAAACATATGAGGTGCCTTTCAGTATTGCTGGTCAAGGTTTAAAATTGCATAAATAAGCCTCGAGGCGGTTTTTGTCTGCGAGGCGAGGCGTAAGCCTCACAGACGCAGAATTGCGTAAATGAGAATTTAAGGGTTTTAGCAGGTAAATAATAGCAAGATTCTATCATGCAATAAAAACATCTAAATGACAAGTAGAATTAATGGAAATTAAGAAAAGAGATGCAATAAAAGCATGTTCCAAAGTACAAAATCACAAAATTATAGTCTATCAGAAATCCCAAAGTACAATTAAGAAGGAACATATAAAATCCAATCATATCCCATCACTAAATGGATCTTCAAGGGAAACTTCTTCTCCAATTGTATCTATGAATGTCATATATTCATCATCTTCAATATGACTCACTTTTCTCTTCCCGGTTAAATAAGAATGATCATTATCATGTTAATTGCTCACTTAATATAAATATAATGCAATAGCATATAAGAAGTTGTGGAATACCTTTATTTGATTGTTGTGCTGCAGAGCTAGTGGGTGTGTAGTGTGGTACTAGTGGATGTGCCCATTTGATCTGTTTCGCCCCTCAAGACATCCACACTTAGATCCTCTAGCTGTAAGTGACAAAGGCAAATATGTCTCATCATCTATGAATCATTCATTATCAAATGACACATCATCACACACCAACGGTCCTCATCATCCTTCAAATGTCACAACATTAAATGGTATGTCATTCTCAAAAAAAAAAACCTGCCAATATCTATGCAAACCTGGCGTCGACCCTTTCTGGTACCAGCCGTAGGCATCATCTCTGCTTCATATATCCCTCTCCTGGATTAGTCATATTACGATCCATCGGACCCGTACACCTCTATTTGTATAGGTAGGAGGAAGAGCTCTTTCCCTCTCGATCTCCAAAAAAGCACCCATGTTCGAACCCTTTCACAATTGTCCTGTTGTAAGTGTTACTAGTGGTACTGTTTCTTTCAATGTAAGCATAGTTTTCATCCTTCACCTTGTCCGGCACAATTTGCACAGCACGGTGTTACGTTTCTTATGAGAGCATGATACAGTGTTCCTTCATGCGGGTTAACTCGCCACATTCGCATACTTTCTCGCAAATTGCATTTCCAAATACACATAAGTCTTCTCCCGGCCGCTTATGTCAACTTGTAATATATATATTTCCAAGAAGGGTCCCTCCGCAATAAACGTAATAGACTTCTTTGCCCTTAACCATAATTTTCTAAAGGAAAAAAGCAAATTAAAACAAAACAATCAAAAAATTTGAAACCCTAACTTTCCTATAGATGAAAAATCTTACCTAAACTTCAAAAAAAACTCTAACAACTAATCAAGGAAGGATGAAGAGGGACGGCCCGGATTTAATGGGCTCACCCGGCGGCCGGTGCGCAAGGCCGGCGGAAAGAATCGCCGAAGCCGGGATTCGGGTTGGAGGCCCAAGCTCTTGCGGGATCGGGAGTAGCAGGTCACGGGCACAAGAAGGAGGCGGGATCGGGAGCAGCAGGTCACGTGCAAGGAGAGAGTATTTCATTTTACTTAAAGTGGGACCCAATCAAAATTACGCACGCCTCAAGCAAAATTGCGCAATTGCAAACTTGAGGCGCGCTCACAATGACTGAGGCGTACGCCTATGCTAAGGGAAAAATTGCGCAAGCCTCAAGGAGCATTTGGGCCAAATTGCACAGAGGCGAGGCGCGCCTCTTATTGCGCAATTTTAAACAGAGTTGCTGGTTGATTTTTTTTAGAAATCTATGGTTTAACAACACTCTTGTGGGAGCACTTATATAATGGGTGACCTCCTTGAAAGTTTCACCAATTATATAAACTCCCACAAGAGTGTGGTTAATTAAACTGTGAGGTTTAATCTGAAATGAGATAAGCTAGGCCAAACTGTTCAATATCTCATATAGTGTCGGCTAGATCGTTACAATTAGTATTAAAGCTAAAACTTTTCTAATATGACGAGTGTTGGGGATGAACCAAAAGGAAGTTGGTGGGCTTATGACATCTTGAATCCTAGGAGGATCATCCAAAGAGGACAAGGAGTGAATGTAGGGTCAGATGGCTCGGACAAAGAGCGGCTCTTGCCATACTTTAGGGTAACAAACTTCCAGGAGGAAAGGAGAGAAGGAATGAACTAAACCTCACATCAACAAGGAATTGGATTTTGTAAATAAAGGGTTCGGCTAAATGTGTGTGGTGCTTTTTGGTATAACATACAGAGCTTTAGGAGCTCCATAGTTAAACTTGCTTGTGTAAGAACACTCTCAGGATAGGTGACTTCTTAAGAAGCCACATCGAGAAGGATAAAACTTGAGATTTAGCCACTTATAGAATCTTAAGTATAAAAGGGAGTTCCTCTTTCAATAAAAAACAAAGAAGATAACTCCATTTGCCCGAGATTATAGAACAGCAAAGTCTTCAAGAAAAGTTAGAACCAGATTCTATCTCACAGCATTCTCCAGATGGTTTCAGCAACACACTCTACGCCTCGCCATCTTTCAAGTTTCCACAACAATATCCTCAGCTGTACTCACAGGTCTGATACTAAAGATTGAACTACATCTTGTCATGGAAGGAATAATAAGAAGCAACACCTCTCATTTTTATCAAAGAAAATCAAACCTATGCATGTCAATGGGAGGAGGAATATATTTCATTGCTGTTCAAGATAAAATCACATTATTTTCTGGGGAAAAAATTGCTCAGGATATCTTGCTTAAACTTTTGGTTGCAATACAAAACATTTCCTTATCATTTTGCTAGGCAACAATACTAGTCTAGCACAAAATAATAATATCTTGTAAAACAGAAAGAAACTTCTTGCAACCAGATAAAAACGACTTGAACTTTATATCAAAAATTCTTGCATCCTCATTACAAATTCAATAACATCATGATCCATAAAATTTCCAATTTTTTCTTGCTTAGTTCATTCACATTTAAAGGATGTTTTGTATCTAGTTATATACAGACTGCAGCAACGGATAAGTTTTGATTAAATCACCTTCAAGGTCTCATGCCACTGGAATCTTTGGCTCTCCAAGATTTACAAAAGCCTCAGCTCGAGCAATACGAAGTATAGCTGAATGCCAGGACACTAGATGGTTCATGAAATTGCTGACATATCTTCTTCTGTCATCCTGAAAAATGAATAACATGTCAACTAGAAATCTAGTATGTATGAGCCTTAGTATTTTCTGGTGATGATCATCAATCAGTTCTCAATCTAACTAAAGAATTTCAACATGCATAAAAAAGAAAAGCTAAACAGGCACTTCTAAATTAATGCAATGGCGTGTCAGATACTTAGTCAGACATTAACCACAGTGTCTCGTTTTATAACTTTTTTTAAGAGCTTCAACAATCAACACTCTAAGGACACCTCTTGGATAGCTCTTAAGCACTTCGTGGATAAGTGTTAGGCACATATAAACACAAACCTCCACTACAACAAGATTCAGTCTAGACTCTAGCATCAATCTTATTTTGCATTCTGCTCTAGTTTTCCCTCTCTATCACTCTCTATTAATATTAATCTCACTTCAAAATAAATATTATTAAGGATTCGTTTTGGACAGCTTTTTATTGCTTTCTAAAACAGCTTTTTAATACAAAAAATTTTAGTTTAAAAAAAATTTATACTAAAAAACTGCTTTAAAAAGAAATAAAAAAGCCACATCCCAAATGAAACCTAAGTCTTATACTTCACTGGTAAGAAAAAATCATAGTTTATTTATTCCTATTATATGACATATTTAATTTAGAAGTATATAATAAAAGCGAAGGATGAATGTTTTAATCATATAACATTAAAATATATATTTTTAAACACCAAGTCAACTTATGTTTGTGTTTTATTATTTTTAAAAATAATTGAGTCCAGTGCCCGATTCACATGCATCATAAAATAGGAATTGATAAATAAACTGTAAGTCATGAAATTGATAAAGGATTTATCAAGCCAACTATGGCATAAATGTAAAAGGGTAAGAAAGGATACCTTGTAATCAAGATAGTAAGCGTGCTGTTACAACAATACAGGTAAGATAGTCAGTTGTCAGTCATTACAGAAGGCAGTGACATATATTGTATGGATTCAAGATTGTTACCTCCCACATATCAAGAGCTATAAGAGGCTGCAATAAACACGAATCATCAGTCATGGTCTCTGGATTAGGCCTGATCAAAGCATGCATAAATCGAATTCAACTTACAATATCATCAAAAACTAGTGGACAGACAGCATTTGATGTTCTGACCACAGCTAGCCTTTTCTCCTCTCTCTTCACTGAGACAACAAAATTAGCAGTGTTATAAAGAGCAGGAAGTATCATGTAAGAAACGCCCTTTTCTATAATTTCTATAATTCTCATTGCTGGTTCTCTAGGCCAGCAAGGGATATTTTTAGAAATTCAAGTTGTAAGGCTGCATGATTTGAAGAAGCCAGTACT